CAATGTCTTTGACAATGAGAATTTTAAAATCCTATTTTTAACTTCATATCCACAGCCATCTGTTCACTGCTCATAAATACTTGTTCTTTCAAATTTTAACCTTCAATTGCAAGTGGCAAATATTCCACATATGTTCCCAAATGCTTCTATTTACTATCATATTTACTAATTTGCTCATCAATATCACTAGAAAGACAATCAAGTTTTCTTTATTCATTTATTCATTCACCATTTATATATTAGTTAAGTAGCAATAGTGTATTGAGTATTAATTCTGTGCCAAACATCATAATGTTAATACTATATTCTGATGTATTTCAAAAAAAATAACTAAAAGTTAATAGAAATTAAGGTAAGGATTGTTGATCTAATAGACACATCTGTTTGGTATATAATGTAATTCTCCAAAACCAACAATAATTTTAATTTTAAGTCATTACCCACGAAAGTGAAAAGAAGGGAAAAAATGACAATAGTATTATAATTGCGGAAGGTGGAAAACATATAAGTGGAAATGACTACCACAGTGAAGAAATCATAAATCCATAGAAGGGTAAATTCACAACAGTTTTTCCCACAGATTCTCCAAAGTCCCCAGGAAATCCTGGACAAGGTGTTAAGGACAATAAGGCTACAACAAGGACAAGCTAAAATTGTGTTCACTCATTCTAGTATCCATATCCCTTTCCCTGCTTGTTCAACAATGCGATTGTTCCTCTCTCCTTTTGTGAAAGTACTAGAAATTTATTTTGTGAATGAAAAAACTGAAATAATTAATAATAGAGTCGCATTATAGGTAAACTGGGCACCATATTTTAGACTAAGGAGCACGTGAACTTACATATAAAGGTGCTGACATAAGCTCAGCACCTTTCTTTCATTGGGTTCCTTTGGCTGGCAAAACACAGGAGCTAGGTTTGCATGCCCCCAAAATAATTGAAGAGACTTATCTCAGGAGCCTTAGTAGCAGACAGGAAGGGAGTGAGGGAGGGAGGAAATGAGGAAGGAGGAGGTAAGGGAGGGGTAGGGGAGGGTAAGGAAAAGTCCTTGATAGCAAATCCACCACTAAATTATCACCCCTTAGTTAAGCTCATATCCTGTGCTTTCTACTCATTTGTTCAGTGCTTTGGTGTAAGTGCTAAAACAACAAACAAACAAATAAACCCTCAACACTAAGTGGTTGAAATAATGCTGAAGATTATATCCTAGATAATAGAGCATATAGTATGAAATGAATCGTAGGTGGGAAAAGAACATTAGCGCATCTTTTGAAAAGGCCCAAATATCTCGGATTCTGGAGAGAAGAAAAAGAAAAAAAAAACATAAGGGAATACATTATTAATATTCATAAAAAATTTTTCCAGAAGTCTAGGGAATAAGGTCCAGACTGAAGGTACCCACCAATTATTCTGCTCAAGGAATACAGACCCAAACCAAGGCAAGTCATTCTGGCATTTCTGAAAACCAGAGACAAAGACAAGCTTCTAAAAGGTTCTGAAGAAGGTCTCCCTGATGGTGCAAGGAGTTAAGCACAGCACTATGAAGTTGTCCGGAAGCCCCTGCAGCACGCGTTAGATCCCTGGCCAGGGAGCAACCCACATGGCACAGCAGACCTCTCCTGACTCGCCCACTGCTCCCCTCAGCAGTGATTTTCAGTCAATCTGCCTGTTCTGTTCCCCACTCTGTCTCTGGTGAATCCTGTCACCTTTCTGCACCTCTGGCCTGTACCCCAGTTCTTGTATGCATAAATAAATAAATCTTTACAAAAATTAAAAAATAAAAGTTTCCAAAGAAAGAAAATAAGCTACATGTAAAAGTCAGGCATCAAATAGTACTAATCATTTACAGCACTGGAAATGATTTCTGAAAGTATTTTTGACCTATAGTTCTATAATGTCTCATCTCTCAATTATATGGTATGTATCTAGCACTTGAAACAGTGTTTAACAATTTAAAAACACAGTAGTAAATATGAGTAGATGAAATAATGAATGGAAGAATGAAAGACAAAATACAGGATGATGTGACAGAAGGATTTTAAAATGAGAACTGTACTCACGTAAAGGGGGTAGTCTGTTCAAATTGTATGTAATAGGTAAGATGATACTCAAAGAGATTTTTTAAATACGTATTAAATCTTATGGAATATTTGATGTCTGTAGAGGTGACATACAGAATAGGAAATCATCAAATGTTTGGGTTGAACTAGAGATATGCACCTGTGACAAACAGAAAGCAAACACTTCAAGAAGAAAAATAAGAGAGCAGAGAAAACAGGAAAGAGACAAAAGAGATGATCTGTATTTGCCATTGTTGGGAGTCAAAACATAATGCTCTAAAATGAAAACAAACAAATAAGAATAATAAGGGGCTGTTATCTAGAGACATTGGATTGGTTTTCAAAATAATCAGCTAAAAGGAAATAGAAACAATTCAAAGACAATTGCAGTTAGAAAAGAATTGTAGGGAGATGCTGGTTTTCTAAATAAACCTATAGATATATTTGACATTTTTTTCCTATGTGCAAGTATTGCTGATAAAAGTACAAACTAACAAACAAGGAAATAAAAGAGGCCTGATGGATGACCTTTTTACCAGGAACATTCGCCATCCTTCATCCTTCCCCAGGAAGGTGTCTATATCCATCTTCCCTTGGAGCAAACACTACTAGTTATCTTTTCTTCCTGAAGTTAACAACATGCAAAAACCTCATTGTTGTTCTCTAGAAATCGAAGGGTTAGTTGCTTTTAATATGAAAGCTTTTTTATATTTTGTGAGGAATCTATGTTACTCCTTGACTCATCTGGCTTTTATCTTTTATAATTTTTCATCTGTCACACAAATGAAGGTTATCATTGACTTTTTAAATATAGCATTCTTACTGGATTTCATCCAAAATTATTTTTGTATCCAGTTTAGAAACTTACTTGTTATCTTTTAAATGTGTTTTTTATCAAGACAAACTTTCTTCCAAATCCTCTAATTGATAGCAATCTCAAACAGGAATAAAAAACATAGCAGCTATATTTCAAGTCATTGTAATAAATAAATCATCGCATGTTCTTTCTGGGATTCAAAATTTCCAATCACTCCCCTTCATATGTTTTCCTTCCAAGCAGGCTTCATGGCTGATGCATTAAAGATCACCATTCAACCTATCCCACTTATATTCACCTCTCTATATTCAGATTTGCTGGAGTCTCATCTCACTATTTTTAATTATCCTACTATTTACCATTTATTTCTTCTTACTTGAAAATCTGCTTCTAACTCTGTTTACTCCCCCAATACTTATCTAATACACTACTAATATCCAATTACATAACTACTTTCAATGCTGTTACCTGATCTGACTTTGCCATGGTATGTAATAGTAAAACAATTCCATTTTACTTTATGTTCTTGACTCATTTCCAGGGCACTAATTCTTCTTCTGCTAATATAGTTATTTATTTTTAGTATCTTTGCTGGCTCTTTTTCTTCTTTTCTTAACACTTTTATCTTTACAATTTGATTATATCCTTTTTTCATGCCCTTATGACTATAACCCGAATCCTATGACCAGAATCCTTCCTCACCTTGACTGTGTTTATAATTATTGCATGATATTTCTGATTTATTTTCTTCTCTTTAAGGAGATTTTTCTAAAGTTACCTTTTTGCAGCTAAATTGCCTTTAGTAATATCTTCAGATAGTGTTATGACAAATTTTACAACAGTGTGTTTCTACAGATTAGACTGGAAAGTGAATTCTGTCAAACAAATTAAATATTTGCATTGAATTCTAATTTAATTTTAGGTTGTGTTCCTACCTTGTTGATGTCAATGTGCAGTCAAAAGTGCCAAGACTGCTTCTTCAGCTATCTTCAGCACAAATCAGGAGGAGTCAGGGATGCAAACATCAGCTCTTCCCATAACATTTTCTTTTTTTTTTTTCTTCCCTGGATGCAACAGATGTGAACATCAGGAAAACAACTTTTATGTCTCTAGCAGAATTCCATTAATTTAAGTCTCCAGAGACCACATTCCAACTTTGTCATTGATGTTCTAATTCCATTTTTACAAGTATCTATAATGTGTGTTGCCAGGAATTGTTGATATATACATATATATTCCACTTTAAAAAATGTTGTAGAAAGTTACAGCTTTAAACTCTTCTGTAGTAAAGAAATCAATGTAGATATAGGAAAATTGACATGAATAAAAATTTATATCATCCTAACAGCTGATTTAATTCCAATTCTGGATAGAAGGACAACTTCTTCATAATTTTACTTTATAGTATGTTTTCTAAACCTGTTCATGTAAATGTCAGATTGGCTTAATTTTTCTCTCAATTCAGGATTTTTAATTGAAACTAGTCATCCTTCTAGATATGTTAATGAAAAGGGCTACAATTAAACTAACTGGATGGTACTTGAAAGCTCTGTAACCTTTAGCAATTCAGAAAACATTTTAGACTACTCTTTAAAATAAACAAATAAAAAACCATAAATACTGAATGTTTTGTCCACGCTTAAGCTTATGGGCATCCCCAGTCTCTTAAATTACAGGAAATTTTCTTCTTACCCTCACTGATTCAGTTAATGCATGCAATGTAAGTATATATTAGAAATCTAGTTGCATTTATTGTAATATGAATGCAAGTCAAGAAAACAGTAAAATCTGCAGTATCTGCATTTTCTAGGGCTCTGGTTTGTTGGAGTGTAGGAATTATTTATGGACATTTTAACATAGCTCTAATACACAACAGGCTGCAAGGTTTCAACTAGCTACCTTAATTTTTTTTTAAATATGTTGGAGATACTTCTAATTAAGTAGTATGTTCCCTAGCCTACTGGAATAAATAGAGTTAAATTAATTAATATTCTGCTTTTCCACTGATTTATAATAGGTCAATTTTTTATGTTCCCATTCCAATAACCAGTAGTGACGCACCGTTTTTTCACATTGAACTCTCAGACTATACCAATATTATCCAAAATCAATCTTTCCAATCAGTGCAGTTCTCAGGGACAAAGGCCATGTTTTTCTATTAAAGAAACAAACAATAAAGGACTGAGTAACTAGTGTGCTTTTCTACCTTACTTCAAATAGTTAAATATTTGTAGATCAATATCATTTTCATTGGGAAAAACTAGAATTTGTGTAGAATAGGATATACAAAAAATGTAACAGGTAAGTGAAATGTTTTGTAGTCCCAGAAAATATATAGGGAAGGGGCAACACCTTGCTAAGAAAGAGATTGTTGTTGTCCACATGATGGAAATCCATGCCAGTATCTTTAGAGGTATCTGAGGAGGGGACTAAGTGGGCAGGTGTTCATAGAATTAATACCTGCTTTCTATATTCCTTGACAAAGAATAACTACATTCACTGGAAACATAAATCTTTAGATCTCTGAAATGGTATTAGGATAGAATGGAGACTTCCCAATCTTATCATTTTCTGCCCATATAAACTTTATATAACAAACTTTTTACTTGGTATATGTAACACAGATTTAAAATAGCAATTTAAACTCTTTGACGACATAGTATGAAAAAAGAGAGACTTGGAAGAATAACAAAAATAGAGTCCAAAGTATTTGGTGCTTTTGATCACCAACTTCTTTTCCTATTTTGTACAACTCAACCCACAGAATAGTCCTGACTGAAAACAAAAGGTATTCTCTCTAGCTCGTTCTATCCCCATAAAGTTCAGTTCATCAAAGTTTCCCTGCTTCAAGCTGACAGCATGTCTACACAATTAACTAAATAAGTTTCTGTCTCAATTCCTGTTGTTTTACTATATATATATATATTTTTTTTTTTTTGTGGACCCTGGCCAGTGGCAGGGAAATGAACCGGCGCTGCAGAGGCTGCAAGCAGCCTTGCAGCCCAGCACTCAACCGCTGTGCCACCAGGGGAGGCCCTTTATTATAATTTTCTAATGATATTCCGTTAAAATGTTACCTCAACAGTGATGTAGACTTAGTATGTGATATGGAAATTAGCATTTACCTGTTTTGGAAGCAAATTTCTCACCCCTGCTTCCATATTTTCCCGTGTGTAGTCCTGTCCATATTTAACAAGGACAATGGAAATATTTGGAGATTGCCTTTAGGGGAAAACAAATAACACCGCATTGTTAGAAAGGTATGTGTAATATTTTATTTGCTATATATAATATAAACACATATTTGAAGAATGGCTGGACTCATTTGACATTTGCAGAATTAAACTATGCACAGGTGAAGAGTTGTTATTTGAGTCTTGAAAAAACACATTGGATTTGGGGCCTCCCTGGTTGTGCAGGCAGTTGAGTGCAGTGCTGTGAAGCTGTCCGCAGCCTCTGCAGCACGGGTTCAATCCCTGCATGCCAGGAGATGCCCACATGGTGCAGTAGACCTCTCCTGTCTCACCCGCTGCTCTCCTCAGCACTCAAGAGTGTATTTCAGTCAGAACAGTCTGCCTGTTCTGTTCCCCGCTCTGTCTCTGGTGAATCCTCTCACCCTCCTGCACATCTGGCCTGTATCCCAGTTCTTGTATGCATAAATAAAATAAATAAATCTTTAAAAAAAAAAACACACTTTGGATTTGATAGTTCCATACAAATTTACCTTTAACTTCCTATAATTCTCTAAGTCTTCTAAAATGCAAAGGAATTTGCAAGTAAATAATAATAGGCAAAGCCTAAAGCATCATAATTTTACTAGATCATTTAAATCTAAAGCTCTAGAAGATATAGTTCATAATAAGACATTTTAACTATTTACTCAACACTATTAATTTAATTTCTGCCAAGACACTGACCTTCCCTAAACACCAATTCTCCTTCTCATCCGGAGTTCTTATCTTATCGATAGCTTCACTTTCTTTCCACAAATACTTGTATTTATTATATCAGACACTTCCCATGGAAAATCTTCTAAGCAAAACAAGTTCTAATTTTGTTAATCTATACAGGTATATTTATAATTTAGATTCCTTTGCTAAGCTAGCTCTTTCCTGAAGAGTATATTTTCATATTGTGTTGGCTTTGATGCTCTATCACTTATCTGAGATACATTACTTTTCACTCAGTTGAAAAAAGTAGTTCCATGTAAAATTCACTCATGTATGGAGCTTTATAAAAAATTGCAAGTAGCAAACAAAAAGAAATATGAAGAGCCTTACTCATTTGAAAATGCAGAAAATAATGGGGAAATTTCCCTTGTTTCCATCCTTGCTCTGTTTGGGTCACTACAGCTTCCTCTGCTCAGTGAATTTAATCAGACACAGCAAGGATTTGATTTGTGCAAAATTCCTTGTATCTTTTATATAAATAGAAAGCCATGGTATGCAAAATATTGTAAAATGTGAAGATAAATACTGTGAAATGTTTATAAAAAGCAAACATAACTGGATTAATTATAAAACTAAAATATGTTGTTTATTTCTTGAGTCTGGAGTCTCTTGAAAACATTAGTGAACAAAATAGTGTTAGAACACTTTCTTCTCATGAGATGAAGGCTTAGTAATATAAAAGCATAACAAATTTAAATGAATATGCACTGATATAATATAACTAATCGCAGTTATATCTCTAGTAATCAAATAAAAATCTTTACCAAAAATTGCCTCCCCTGGTGACGCAGCGGTTGAGTACTGAGCTGTGAAGCTGCCCGCAGCCTCTGCAGCAACAGTTCAATCCCCGGCCGCCCGCGAAGGTCCCTCATGGCGCGACAGACCTCACCTGCTGCGCCCGCTGCTCCCTTCAACAGTGTATTTCTTCATCAGTCTGCCTGTTCTGCTCCCCTCTCTGGCTCTGGTGAATTCTCTCACCCTCCCGCACTTCTGACTGTACCCAGTGCTTGTATAAATAAATAAATAAATCTTTAAAAAAAATATTTACCAAAAATCTACAGTTAAAATGTATTGGAATTTTAAAGTCATCTTCAAATGATGTCGCCACTCTTCAATAAAAATTTAGTCAGTGCAAATAAAGTTACAGAATCTCTAAGAAATGATCCTCTGATAGTTTTTGGCAATTTTCCTGGCACTTTGAAGTAAATGAAAAAGTATCAACTGTAAAAGTGGCTAAATTAGAGATAACTCAATCATAAAAGGCAACCATGGGCAAACGGGATTTGGGTAAAGAAAGGATCATGAGAATCTCATTCTGAAAATACACACTGCATTAGAAAAGAAGTTTTTTTTTTTTTAATTCTTTTCTAACTTCTTTATATGCTGTTCCATATATCTCAAAAGACGTTGCCTTAGATCTAGACCTCAGCTGAGTGCTGAGATCTAGGCAGAGTTATCAGTAGTTGAAGATGGAGTGGATGACTGATGAGGCAATTTGCCCTTTCTATATCCACAAAAGATTTCTTGAATTCTACCCTCTCTCCTAAAAAGAAAGGTGGCAAAATCTCTGAAATGTGACATTTTCCAAATACAACATTCTGAGAAACCCAATTACCATCTTATTCACTTATTCTGTATCACTTTCTCTTTTATAGCAACTCAGAATAAAATCAGGGGTTTAGTTAGTCTTAACAGAGCAGCCAGTCCTTAATTGCATCCATTTCCCATTAATGTTTGATGAAGCAGATTTCTTCAAATTTCTGTCCTTCCTGTGTACATACCAGTTGCATTTGATGTACATTTTTAAATTATAAAATTCTGCATTGTGCTCATTTTAGAGGCAAATAAAGCATCAAAAGAGAATAATTTGTGGTCAAAGTGTTTACAAGATGAATACAATATTTTCCAGTGAAACTAGAATGAATATCCATGAGTTATTCATCAGTCTTTCATTTTAGCTCTGTCCCTAACAAATGCAGAAAATCTAGTGTGAACACGTTTATTTTCCACATAGCCTGGTCAGATACCTGGTAGTGGCAATGACTGGCATTTCTTAGGGAAAAATCTAACAACTTAACTTTAATTGACTGCACTGCATGATAGCTACCAACATGATTTTATTTTTCAAAGATTCCTCAGGATGGGAGAAATGTTCATAGACCTGACAAGCATAGTGATTGCTTCTCCTCTGGGTAATAAAACCAGCTACATTTCTCTACCTTTTGCCTGTAGTTTCTAAATGCAAAAGAAAAGCAATTATCACATGAAATATATGCCTAAGGAACTCTTCCTGCATAAGTCAGTAGGCATCTATTTCTTTTCAATTCAGAATCTTTTGGAAGGAAAGAAAAATTCCAGGCCATGTAAGATGTTTCCCAAATAAGATACTTGTAAGAATCGGAGAATTTCTTTTTACTATATCTTATTTACTCTAATATAGACATAAGTCAGTTTTACTCTAATTATAATAAGAGAAATTCCCCTAAGCCTGTTATTTTAAAGAGAAAAAGTTTGGAAATAAGACAAGTGCTCACATCAATCATTTTCTAATAGTAATTCTCTTTCATTTTTTTGATCCTTTAATGTGTAACAAGCACATAAGACAGGTAATTAATTGACTTTAAGTTTACATACAAACTCTATTTTCTTTTTTTTTAAATGTGTATTAATTACAGATCTTTCATAGATGTTGTTTCTTTGCTTCAAGCAGGAAATTTAACTTAATGTCCCACTGTTTCCTAAATAATGTCCATAATTGATAAAAACAAAAAGGAAAGGAAATTATTACTTAGGTTTGGAATATTCTATATTAAACCTCAGGCTGAAAATAAAAAAGGGTACCTTAAGTATTCTGGAGAAGAAATGTGGATAACCACCCTAGTTGGATCTAATAAGATTTGGAATCTACATCATCAGACCAAAGATAAACAAGAGAGCCCTCAATAAACATTTGTCTAAAAAACAATCCTTAAAGCTAACTACAGATCTAACACATCCAGAGGGGAAGGAGAGGTGTGAGAATGGGGATGGGCGAAGGGTTGGGGGATGCACAACCCATTGGACTATGTTAGAGGACTATGGGTGCTATGGTGGTGGGAGCCAGGGTGGCCACACCTGAGGGGAAAAACTAAATTGTTGGGCCTCCCCTGGTGGCTCAGTGGTTGAGCGCTGGACTGTGAAGCTTCCCACAGCCTCTACAGTGCCGGTTCAATCCCCGGCCGCCAGCGAGGGTCCCACATGGCGCACAAACCTCTCCTGCTGCTCCCGCTGCTCCCCTCAGCAGTGTATTTCGTCAGTATGCCTGTTCTGTTCCCTACTTTGGCTCTGGTGAATTCTCTCACCCTCCCACGCTTCTGACTATACCCAGTGCTTTTATAAATAAATAAATAAAAAAAAACCCTGTAAATTGTCAAAAAATTAACAAGAATGTAAAACAATGGAACTCAATTCAAAAATAAATAAAAATATATACTAGGAAGGCAAAGAAAAAATAAATGCATTTAATGAACATGAAAATGTTAATTTTTAACATGTCTTTTCAATTTTATCCAACTATTCAAACATCCTCAAATTTCAGCTGGACATATATCATGAACTGTGCTAAACAGAAAGCACATGGTAAGATAAGCATTATTTTAGCTGTAATGGAACTTACAATATAGTGAGTTTTAAAAATTGTTATTTTTTTAAAATCGAAAGATGACAACTTTTTATAAATGGAAGTGAGGAGGTGACCGAACACTTTTCTTAGAGTTAGGAGAAGTCTTCCTGAGGAAGTGACTTTTTAACCTGAAGCATCAAGGAAAATAAGGAACCAGCCACTGTCAGAAGTAGCATTAAGAAAGGAAGAAAAGGGAGGGAAGAAAGAAAGGCATAAAAAATATATTTGCTATTCCGAGAACATTCTCTCTCTTACCCAATAATGTTCTTCTTAGGCAAAGATCATAAGAGCATAGAACCAGAAAGGAGTCAAAAAAGGAAAGGTTATAAAAGTCCTGGTTTTTACAAATAAAAATATATTCCCTTCTGAAAACTAAAGAAGAATAATGTTACATTGATCTCAAGATAATGTAATTCATTTCCAGATATATTGAATTGCACTTAAAAGAAAAAAATTAATCACTTACAGTTAGCATATGCTCGTTAATAACAAGTGTAGCCAGATTTAACTTTTCTATATTAATCATGTTACAAAACTGCTAAGTATAGATTTCTGGGCTTCCATGGAACATTCAAAATCCTGTGGATGCCACCTTTGTAAATACAGGGGAA